GGGTTGGGGGCACTGAAGGCGAACCTTAAAGACCGCAAAATAGAAGACAGAGATCTTACCAAACGAAGAGTGCGGGCTGGGTGGCTCCGGTCCCGACCGGAGGGAAGGAGACAGCCACAGGCAGAAGGAGACGAATTCTGCGATTCCAGGAAGCCATTTCTGGATTTCACTCAGCCCGGCAATGGGCGCTGCAGCCACTGCAGGCTGGAGACCCACTGCAGACTTGGCGTTGTGGCCAGAACCTTCTCCCCATGACCGACAACACACAGTCTGTCAGGGCCGGCCAGGCTTTGGCACCCCTAGGGACTGGGGCATCGGAGCAGGGGGACCAGCCTATGACCTTTGGACCCAGAATTCTACTCTCTTTCAGAGGTCGGGCTCCAGGGGAACCACGGATAAGGAATGGAGGAGCACTGCCCTTTTCCCACACAGCCAAATTTCTCCTTGGGCCTCCTTGCTGTGCTTTGTTTCCATTTCGTAGGGCAGGTCCAGGATGGCAGCCTGGGCAGGGATGAGGACAGTGGCTTTGCTGGTTTCCCTGGCTCCCCCTACCCCAGTCCCATTGCACAAGCAAGCCCCCCCCCCACACACACACACCACTCACTTCTAGTTTCTAGCCACAAAGTTCTCTCATTCTCCTAACCCAAAGAAAGAGCCTCCTATATCCCCGCTCTACTCCCCCAGAATGGCATGTTCCCCAGACCCTCCACCACCTAGCTTCTTCCACAAAAGCAGGCCCAAGTCAGTTTTGTGCACCTGAGATTGGTCTACTGTGTACAGAGTGGGACTAGATATTATGGGGAGTGGTGTGCACCGTGGCTGCTATCCTGAGCAGAGTGGTCTGGGGCTTCGCTGAAGGTCCCTGAGAAGTCATCTTATTCACATCCCACCTAGAGAAGGCTAGTGCTGAGGCCTGTGAAGTCCTGCTTAGAGCACCACACAGGATCCTGACCCCCTTTACTGTGCCCCCGTCTCTGCAGCTTGCTAGAACCCCAGAACTCCTAGCAGATGTTGGTACCCCCACGATATGCTGCATACCCCACCTTAGACCCCTACCACCATGTACAACACCAGTGCACAATTACACCCACTCACCATAGGGACAGTCACCCACAATGATCCACACTCCACTCTAATTCATTTCCCCAATTACATACTGTCACACACAAGTATATACAGTAAAATACACATCTTATGCATGATTACATCTCACGCAATTACATTCATACATTTACAGATGATACACAATGACGTTCATACATTTAACACAAAAACAGATTCACAAGGAGAAACTAACATTCACTCTCACAAACATTAACACGTGATTCACTCACAATCACAAATACAGGTCAGTGACCACACAATTATCCAAAAAAACACAGCCCCATTTACACATGGTTACATACACACCACTACAAGCTCCAGTGTATAATGATAGTTTCGATTTGCAACTTATGCAGAAACAAGCACTTACACACAATAATTGCAAACATAATTACATACTTAAACACTATTGCAACCATTCACTATCAGTAACACCCTGATTGCCACACTATCACGAACGCACAATGCACACACACAGCTCTCACCCCCAAAAGACGTTATATCCTCTCAAGCACTAGCTGTCCCAGGAGAGCCTGGCTCTCCCTCCTTTCCTCAGCTCTGCCTTCTCTCTGTCCCCTTCCTTCTTCTCTCCAGAACCCACAGGTCCGGGCTCCCAGATGTCCCTCAATCTCAGGCACCAGTGGCTAACCCAGCAGCACCAGCTCACACCAAACCCAAGTAGCTGAAAGGAGTAGGCAGCCCTGACTCCGGATCCGGAGGATTTTATTATTTTTTCACATAAATTACACAAGCACTTTATAAAATGGTTACACAGAAAACACCTTATAAGTGCATAACTTAAACCCCTCCCCCCATGAACAGGATCTGGAGAAATAGGCTAAGTTTGTGTGAAAACCTGCCTGTGTGTATCTGGGTGTGGCTAGGATGTGTGATGGCCTGGCAGGCCAAGTGACGCTGTTGTGTGTGGGATGGTGTGTCACAGTGTGGCCATGGCCTTGTGTTTGTGAGAAGTGCCATGCTGTTCAGAATGAGTCTGGGTCACCCCTGGCCTATACCTGATAGTGAAGGTCAAGGGTGAGAAGGCTATAGCCCTGTGGGTGCATGACACTCTACCATAGAGACACTGTGTGTGACTCTGGGGTGACACCAAGAGGGTGAGTGAAATCGCCTCTGTGTGGGCCTATGGGTGTCCGTGTGAGATTAGGAATGGGATACAGAGAAAGGGTTCGAATGACAGCCCATGCTGTCCTCTGGGGACCCCAGAAGTTCTTCTTCCCCCACCTCCCCTGCCTCTCTCAGTCACATGTTAAAAATCAGAATAAAATAAAATAGACGCAAACTGAGAGGACTCTGAATAGTTCCAGAAGGCTCAGGACCGCATGGACGTCTGGGAGGAAATCATCGGTCCCTGTCCTCCGCTTTCTTCTTTCCGCAAGAGAGAACAGTTTCAGTAAGCACGCGGGCCCCTGCGGAGAGGCTTGGCGTTCCCCTCCCTCGTGCAGTCTCAAGCCTGAGGGATGGGAGAAACTCCTGGCTCTCAGGCCTTGGGGACCCCTAGGTTGGACCTGGGGCCTCTCCGGGTGTGCAGGCTCACTCGCAGGCTGACGCCACCGACGTGACGCTGGTGATCTTAGTCGAGTCGTCAGACCATGGCTGCAGGTTCTGCAGGGCGAAGAGCGAAGAATTGTGCACGCAGAGAGGGTCGGCGGGCAGCGGCTGTGCCAGGCTCTTCTGGAAGGCCTCTTGCTGCAGCTGCAAGAGGATGCGGTTCGCCTGCTGCCTCTCGGCCTCACGCTCCTCCGCGGTCTGCCGCCTGCACAGAGGACAAGCCGTTATCCACGCTTCTGGTGCGCTCCCGGGAGATAGCCGGAGCGGCACTGCCCGTGTTGGCAGAGCCCAACTCCAGCTTGGGCCTCTCTAACGCATTTCCTTATCTTGAAGGTCCTGAAGCCAACAAAGACTGGAAACCCCAAAAGTAGGTTGAGCGAGCTATCCTGGGGAAGCTGTGGTAAACTCTGCTGGGCCCAGGCAGCTGGGGCGCCCCCACCCCCACCAGCCTCGGAGGGCACAGCCAAGGGTAAGATGGCATCTCGCCTCTCCCCAGCCGAGGAAGACCAGGGGCCGCCGTCCCAAACCTGAGGGGCCTCGCCCTCCCCATCAATCCAGGGCAGAGGCAAAAGCCGGTGGATAAGAGCTCTCCCACCGGACCTCTCTTTTCCCCTTTCTCTCTGAGAACATCTCCCAGGCATCTGACCTCCTGTGCCAAGGTCTGTGTCCTGCCGGGACTCCCGCCCGACCAGTCGGCTTCCTCCGAGGCAGTCCTGGGAGGCGATGACTCACTTATTCCTTTTAATGCCTCCCCTCCACCCCGTCAACTGAGATCAAACGTCTGTCTCTAAGGTGGACAGACCTAATGGGAGTCCCCGGGGCCTCCAGAAGCAATTTGTAGGCGATCGATGAAGCCGCGCGAAGCCGGCGAGGGCCTCTCCCAGCGGCGGATTCCGGCCTCCTTCCCGCCGCCCCTTTCTGCTTTTCGCTCTGTGTGTCTCTCTGGTTCTCTTCTTTCTCTTTCTGCCCTACACTTTTAACAGCCGGTTTCTCTTTCTTTGGCCTTTGTATTTTTATCTCTTGTTTTCTTTCACCCCCACCCCTTTGGTTGTCTCAGAATTAAGGGAATTCGTTTGAAATGAAAATGAAGGATTTTGTCATCCATTGCTTTATTATACATAAGACTTCGTGAGGCTGCCGGCATTTCTTTTCTCCCTGGGGTGAGGTGTCTATCTTTGCCCCTCCCCTTTGTGCTTCAGTTTCTCTTTTTGCCCGCCACTTTGTCTTCCTCTGTCCCCCACCTCCAAGGTTGTGGGGGGAGCTTGCCTGGCTCCATCCCCTCCCCTAGACTGCGGCTCTGGGTGGGCCTTGGGGAACACCAGTGTCCCCCCTACCCAGCTATCCCCTGCTCCCTCTTTAGCTTTCCAGAAGTCTGAAGCCGGTCCCCTACCCCCATCCCAGTGGCAAGAATGTGGGGAGGAGAGAGCAACAAACTCGAGGGGCAGTGGCTTCCTTTGTGGCCACGACGGCGGAATCCCGGGCAGATTCCTTGCCTTCATTCAGAAAAAGAGGAAACTCCAATTCCTTCCTCCTGCCCCAGGCCCGCCCGGCCCGGCGCCGCCACCTTCGCCCAGAGTCTCTTGCGCTGCCCCCACCCTGAGGCCTGAGCTAGCAAGAAACTCCTGGCGGACACGAAACTATGCGGGCCAAATGTGCGGGAGGGTGCAGGGGTACAAGAGGGCACAGCAGAGAAAGAGCCGGTGTGTGCGGAAAATAAGGCTGCTTAGGAGTGAGTGGGACGCGTTATGTATGTAAGGCGGGAGGGGGGGAGAGAGATTTCCCCTTCTCCCATCACATATCTACAAGTACACTAATACGCTGTTTCCCCCCTATATATACCTTTATCTTTGTCGTGTTCGTTCTCTCTCTCTCTGCTTTCTCTCTCTCTCTCTCTCTCTCTCTCTCTCTCTCTCTCTCTCTCTCTCTCTCNTCTCTCTCTCTCTCTCTCTCTCTCTCTCTCTCTCTCTCTCTCTCTCTCTCTCACACACACACACACACACACACACACACACACACGCACATCTGCTCCTAATTGATCCCGGGTTCTGTGGGACCCTCGAAAACCCCGCCCGCAGCAGGCGCGGATTGATTTTCCCCTTCCAGGGTACAACCCGCTGCATGAAAGCCTGTCGTCTGGGGAACCGGGAGTCAGCAGAGCTCAGCCTGCGGTCTGGGGCCCCAGACGCTCTGCCCGGAGCCCGGCTGGGGCGCAGAAACAGGGTGCAGGCCATCTTATCTCCAGGCTCCGGGATAGAGAAAACATCTCTATAACCACGAGTTTGCACAAACCAAAAGCCCCGCAGGACTCACTGATTCAGGAAGCCCGGACTGCATAGACTGCTCTAACCCGGTGTTTCCCCAAGCAGCGGCGAATACCAGCCGCATCTACACAGGCAGAATGTGCCGGCCAGAAAGCCAGGAAGCCTCTGGTGAAACAGGGCAGGGGCTCTCCAGCCCCATCCCGGTCATTGGCCTCTCTTGCCACTCGCTCCCTGCGACCCTAGCAGGAGCCGCCCGCTCCTCCGAACCGATCAGAAACCAGGATCGGAGGGAGTGTGAGCGCCCAGAGAGGCCAGGAACCCAGAGCGGCCCAAGACTGCACCGCCCTTACCCGCCCCGCGCGCTCACCTCCACTTCGTCCGCCGGTTCTGGAACCAGGTTTTGACCTGCGCGTCAGTCATTTTGAGCGCCTTGGCCAGGGCAGCGCGCTCGGCCGAGGCCAGGTACTTCTGGCGGTGGAAACGCTTCTCCAGCTCGCAGATCTGCAGGCGTGTGAAGGACGTGCGCGGCTTCTTCTTCTTGGGGGGTGTCCGGTTCTGATAGGGGTGACCTATACGGCGTGTTACAGTGAAGGGTGAGAGGGCCACTGGAGCGGGAGACAGACAGACGGCAGAGGCAAGCGGCAGAGCGTCAGGAGGCGTCCCAGGCACGACACCCCGCGAATCAGCGAGCGCAGCGGCTAGACCCCCTGAGCAGGGCCTTGATCCTCCCGTCAGCCCTCAGGTCTAAGCCCTGACAGAAAACGGCCTCCTGCAGCCAAGGCCATGTCCGCTGCCACCACAGAGGCCTCCCTAGCCCTGGGCTCCAACGTTCCCAACTAGACACAGCCGGAGTCGTCTCCCCAGTTTCCTTGAGGGGCATGTCTGAGGCGAACTAAAGATTCAAGTCCCCCACAGCTCCAGGCGTCCAGCTTCAGAGAAGCTGCCCAACAGCAAGAGGCCATGCTTGGTCAAGACCCTGGACCCTGGGTCCTGACCAAAGCCTCCATCACACAGCGACATACACAGACACATTACATACAACACGGCAAATTATAGATCTATACACCCAAACAAGCTGGCAAATAGGCACAGGCACACAGGCAGACGCACACAGGACACAGGGCAACATAAGGTGACACAAAGCTACAGCCTTACACTCATTCCGGCAGAGCCTTCGTTAGGCCTGAAGTAAGATTAGAACCGGCTGTGCTTCTCCTAAGTAGGCCCTTTATAAAGTACCTTTCACAAGAGCTCCAGGACTAGTGGGCTCCAGGCTGGGGCTTCCATTAGAGCCCTTCAAGACTGGCCTGGGCTGGGAGTGGGGGAGGGAGCAGAATGGGCACCAGGCCCTGACTCACCAGGCCCAAGAGTAGTGTGTTGAGGCATTGGGGCCCCCTTGAATACAGGGCCCTTCCTGGGGGCCCAAAGTGAAATGGCTTTTCTGCTTCTGTGCACCCCACTCCAAACTTTTGCCTCAGACCGAGAGTCTGAGCCAAAGCTGGAACAGGAGCAGGGGGCCTGGGGTGCCTTGGGGTCGCCTAGCCTAAGGTCTAGCTCTAAGCTGCTCTTTAGTAGTTGGGCCTTGGATCCCAAGCCCCATGGGAGTCCCATGTCTGGTTAGGCAGGGGCCTGTGCCTCCTGCCTCCTCTCTCTAAGGCCCTACAGGGAACCCAGACTCAACTCGTGGCTGCTTCTCAGCGGGCGTGTGGGCCTGGCCCGGAGGGAGGATCGTGCTCTTGGATCCAGGGAACGCTAAGGGCCGCGGGAAGTGAAGGCAGGGAAAGGGGCCACCGCAGGAGCGAGAGCTGAATGCCGAGAGCGGAAGCGGGAGAGGAGAGAGCTGGGCGAACCGAGGAAGGCGCGGAGTAGGCAGCGAAGAGGGCGGCAGCCGGCGCCGCCGAGTGCGTAATCGTCCCAGGAGTTGTCCTTTGGTGGCTAATCGATCGTGGGCCTGGCGGGTGCATTATTCACGCCCGAGGGCCGGGTGTTGGGGGAGGAAGCCCAGCCCGGACAGAACGAAAATGAAGCGGGCGGCTCAGCCTCACGCTGCCACCGACCTGAACCAAGCCCGCAGTCCGGGCCCACCAACTCTGTTGCTTTACTCGGGCTCGTGGCCTCTGCCCGTCTGGCAGCGTAACAAGACACTGGAGCTTGGTGTGTGTGTGTGTGTGTGTGTGTGTGTGTGTGTGTGTGTGTGTGTGTGTGTGTGTGTGTGTGTAGGGGACTAGCGGTGGGCAACCTGTTCTTTCCTTGCGTCTGATTCTGGCTTGCCGCCTGGCCAGAGAACATCGGCCCGGACGGAAGAAACAGTTTGTTCACTTCGCGCCCCTTTCTCCGAGATTCCCGAGCCCCAAATGCCGGGGGAAGGTAGTCCCGAAGCTACACTCCCCTTCCCTCCGCCTGATCAGGCCCAGGGACTCCGAGAGCGGATCAAGGAGCGCTCCTCAGAGCAGGGTCCTGCCAGAGAGACGTAAAGGGGCCCAGGCTGGGAGAACTCTCCCCGCATGGCAACTCCGCGAGCATAGAAAGGTGGCGGGCGGCTGAACTTGGGGGAAGCGCCAAGGAGAGCTGGGCGAACTGGCGCGCAAAGGGGGCTGCGGGGAGCCGCTGGGCCGGGGAAAGGTAGCGCAGAGCCCGGGCCGCGGCCAGGCGGGGCGCGCGCGGGCCGGACTCACCTGTGAATCTGTCCTTTGTGTATCTGCGGTTACTCTCCATCCAGGGGAAGGTGAGGCCGGTGAGGTTGTTGACTCCCGGCACAGCAGGCACGGAGGGAACGGTGGGCAAGCCGGTAGCCAGAGGCTGGGGGTGGGCCACCGCTCCAGCTAGCGGCCTGTGCGCGGGCACCCGGATCACCCCCGCAGCGCTCAGCGCCCCTCCGCCGCCGCTGCCCCCGCCGCCACCGCCGCCCGGACCGGGGCCGCCCGCCAAGGCCATGTTCACGTTGTAGGAGCCAGCCAGCGGGCCCATACTGCAGGCGCTACCGCCGCCGCCCGCCGGGCCACCAGGACCGCTCGGGCCGCCAGCGCCATAGGCCCCCGCGCCCCCGGCCCCAGCCCCGGCCACGGGTCCCCCGCCGCCGTAAGCGTAGGCGCCTCCGACCAAACAGCCAAGGCCATATTCTCCGTCCTGGAGGCGCGAGTTGGGCCCCATGCAGCCGCCCTGGTCCGGGCTGTTGAGGATCTGGTCGATACCGAAGCTGATGGGCTCCGCGTGGCCCGGGTGGAGATGGTGCGGACCCAGGTGCTCCATGCTGGGCCCCGGCCCCGGCCCCGCGAGGGGGGGGGGGCTGGGCGGCGGCGCTCGCTGTTCTTGGCTCTGGGGGCAGCGCACAGGGGCGCGAAGGCGGCAGCGCGGCTCCTGGCTGCGCGGAGACTTGGAGGAGAAGTGCGCAGAAGGGCTAAAGTAGGGGGGAGGGGAAAGAGAGAGGGGGCGCCGTATTCTGCCCTTCTCTGGCTGCTCCTTCACCACTCAGGCTGCTCGCTAGCTGTTGACTCTGGGACATCAATCACCGGACGAAAAAGCCCGGTGCGAGCTAGCCTCGCAGTTTCGGCCGGGTCTCTCCATTGGCTGTGCACGGAGAGGAGCCGGGTGAATGACAGCGCGGGGGAGGGGCGGAGACGAGGAGCGAGAGGCCGGGAGCCCAGGCAGATGCCAGAGCCAGAGACAGAAGGACGGAGACCGAGGCTCAGAGAAGTAGTTTAGGAAGAGGGGAACCAGAGACTTAAAAGGAGAAAGAAAAAGAACAGGAGGCGGCCATTCCCTGAGACCGATACACAGATGGAGCCCAAGAGATGGAGGTCACAGCCCTCTTCCCAGCTAGGCAGGGGCCGCCCACTCAATTTGAATTGGACCAAAGGGGTCCAGCCCACTGGCCTCTGGGGAAGAGGTGTCCCTGCGCTACAGGAGAATCTCCCCAAGGGCTCAACCGGGAAACACCTGTCCATCAACCAGAGGATTTACACCAAACTTCAAATCCAGCTTGTTAAAAAGTAGAAGACTGTCAACTCCCCAGGTATGGAGCCCAGGCCCCTGAGGCAGGAAGGTGAGTTCAGGCTTGTCCTTCTTTAAAACACAGGCCTATGAACAACTGGCTATATGTTGAAAAAAAAAATTCAACCACCTCCAACTCAGCCGTTTAGAGAAACTGAGGAAAGGAAGACGTCTGAAAGGCAGGCACAAAACAAAAGAGTTGGCTTGGGGCTTGCTGCCAGGGTGCCCATGCCTCAAGATTCCCTTTTCCTTTAAAATAAACAGATGTTTCAAGAAGCAGTTCCCACAGTATGTGAATGAATTCAATCAGGTTGCTTTCACCTAGAAACTAGCCCAGGGCTGGTTATTCCAAGCAAGAAACCTTTGGACTGTGAGGGGAAGGAGTTATTTTCTTTTGGAATCTTGGGAGGGAGGCCTAGGGGCTTAAGGCAGTGCGGGCTGGAGATGGTGAGACCAAGATGAGGGAAGTGCATCCAGGACAAATTTAGGCCTTTTCATCGTTTTGCCTGTGGCTGACTGGCTTAGAGCCCAGGAGAGAAGGAGGAAACTCCCTTTTTCTGCTTCCTCTCTTTCTCCTCTCCAGTATGGAAAGGTCCTCTCCCTCCCAAGAGCCAAAGTCTGGGAAGGGCACAGTTTGGATCACTTGGGATCTATTTTTGGTCTATTCCAGATTCAACAGGCCTTCAGGGAAGGGCTGTTTCTATCAGGCAAGATGCTAGAATGTGAAGGCGCACATTCTACTTATCAAGTCTCATTGCAGTGTAGTATTTGCTTTGGCTATGTTGGTTACTTCCACTTGAAGAGATCTCCTTGGAGGCAAGAATGGCTTACTTATCTCTATTCCCCACTATGGACTATAGCCCCAATCCACAAAATATACTCATCTTGAATGAATAATGAATGAATGTCCTTATTCAGCGACTTTATATGAGTACCTATTATGTGTCAGGCATGGTTCTTGGCATTGATAAAACAGCAGTAAACAAAACAAAGTTCCTGCCTTCATGGAACTGACATTCCATAGAGGGGGGTCAGACAATAAACCAAGAAGCAAATACAATAAGCCAGGTGGTAATAAGTGTTATGGAAAACACTATAAACTCTACACCAACTCTTTAAAATGAGTATTATCCCTATTTTACAGATGTAAAGAAACCAAATTTCAGAGAGGCTAAGTGACTTGATCAAGATGGTGGGGCTGAATTGGACTTGCTTTTATGGGTTACCCTGAAAACCTGACTGCTGGTTGGAAGGGCATCTCTATGGGGAAAAAGTTGTCTGGACTCCAGGCAGGTAGACAAAGGCCCACTCAATACAAAGCCAGATGTGGTGTTTGTAAACACTAAGCAGAAACATGAGTAGAGAGCTCCACTGGATGAGTACAACCTACCCAATCCAGGTTCCATAACTTTCAATGGCAATTGTTTGAACTGGAATGTGTCTCTTTCCTGCCTCTTATCTTGAGGGAACTAGAGATAGACATAAATGTTTTATTGAGAAACTACTATGTGCCAGACAGCACAACACACTGATCTCATGTAAGACTCACAATAACTCTGTGAAGTTAATAGAAACATCTCCATTGTTTAATCATTAAGAAAACAAAATGAATGTTCACAGCAATATTATTCATAATGCCCCAAAAGTGGAAACAACTCAAATGTCCATCATTTGATGAATGAATAAATAAAATGTGATATATTCATACAATTGAATATTATTCAGCCATAAAAAAGAAAGTCCTGGTTCATACTACAACATGGAAGAACCTAGAAAACATTATTTTAAGTGAAAGAAGCCAAGCACAAAAGGTCACATATTATATGATTCCATTTATGTGAACCATCCAGACTAGGCAAATTCATAAAGGTGGAAAGTAGATTAGTGGTTGCCAGGAGCTGAAGGGGAGGGAAGTAGGAAGTAACTGCACATGGATACAAAGTTTCTATTTGGAATAATGAAAATATTTTGAATTAGATAGTGGTGATGGTTGCACAACTGAATATACGAAAAATTACTAAATTGTATGATTTAAATGACTGAAATTACGGTGTGTGAAATATATCTCATTAAAAACAAAAACTGAGACTCGGTAAGATAAACAAAGTTGCCCAAAGTCCCACAGACAGAAGAGAATTGAGCTGGGATCCCCAAACCTGAACTACTTTCCCTGTAGAGGGTGAAAACTATGGGGAGAGGCCCTTCAGCATCCTTTGAGGCTGGGTCCCAGTTGCCTTGCTCTGCCTTGCTCTTTTTAGTCAATAAGTCACATTTATGTCTAACCACAGTTCTGTATGCTGCAATTAAAACCGCATCTTTCTAGGTTATCCTCAGAACAATTTCTCTTTGTCACACTCTGACCCATGCAGGAAACCCTCAAATGTTCCTAACACTCCTCCTTTCCTCCCTTCTTCCTCCTCCAGATGCATCTTTCCAGCTCTTAATGGCTTTCCAATCCTGCCTGTTCCAACCCTTTCTTATGCAGCTCTTGAACTCCTCAGCTCTGGTGCGAGTTGTCTGGGGTACCTGGGAGGAAAAGTAGCTTTTGCTGGCCCAGTCTAAACTTGGCAGAGGTCACAGCTTCCTAGGGGCCCACTAAGGCTGTCAGAATGCTCTACTCATCAAATCCAGCAACTCAGGGACATCCTGCCTTTCTCTTTCCCTCACTACTGCCTGCCTGCCTGATCTCTTCCGGACTTTCCACCCACCTCTCTTGCTTACCAGAAGCAACCTTTTATCCCAATCCATTTCTGAACTGCTGACCTCCCCCGAGTTGGGGTTCTTAGAGTCTAGCTTGACCTTGGCCTTTGTCTTCCAGTGGGATAGTGGCTGAGGGCAGAGTTACCCTCTCAGTCCCTTCTATGCCTCGGAAGATGAGACAAGAGGGCCAGGATACTCCGGCCCCTGCTACTTCCCAAAGCAGTGCTACCGGTTGGCAAGTTTTCTGAAATGGGCGAGGAGACTCACACAGAGCTTCTATTTGGTGCAGTTTCTGTGTTTCCACAGTGCTTTTCCATGCCTTGCAGAGTAGCCCTGTGAGAAAAGAGGAGGGGACATAAAGAAGGCAGGACTCACAAAGCACCAGTTATGTCCAAGGCACCTTCCGTCACACTTATTATCTCATCCTCCAGTCATCCTGTGATGTGGCTTTTGTTGTCTCCATTTTACGGATGAGAAAACTGAGGCACTGAAAGCTGGAAAGGGACAGAGACTGGACTCCAATAGTGCTTTTCTGACTCTCTTCATTACAAACTGCTTCCAACACCAAACTTGGCAGCTGAGGTCCTTACCTTGCAGGAGGAGTATCTTTGCACATGTCTAGGTGAGTTCTAGCCCTGAGGCCACCTGGTAACATCCACTCTCCCAGCACCACCCAACCCCCCCACCCCTTGCCTGAAGAATAAAAAAGTGCCTCCAATTAAAAAGAGGAGCAGCTGGGCCTGAGGCTGGGGCTGGGGTAGGAAAAAAGGGAGGGCTCAGCCACTTGGGAGGCCCTTTTGGATCCCACCAGCTCCCTCCCTCCTCTGGGAGAGAACCCTGGGCCAGGGGTTGTCCTTTAGCTTAGGGGTATGTGTGATAACTTAATTACTTTGTGTTTGTGGGGCTATGTCCACAAGGGGAAAGCTGGATATGGAAGTGTGCATGACAGTGAGGGTTGTTGTGCAGATATACTGGGCTTGTCTTTAAGGAATAATTTTTAAAATTTATCCAACTATGTTTTTACCCAAATATGTACTGAATGTCCATTATATATCAGTGTTAGGCTGTTGGGACACAACTGCAAACAAAATGCATGTCAGTATGAGTAGTGGGGAAGAGGAAGGGAGTCTGGGTCATTTTTACAACTGGATTTGTTGATGTGAGGATGTGTGTGTCAGTGAGAATGCAAGTGAATGTGTTTTCTGTAACAGGGTGAGTATGTATCTCTACAACTGTTCCTCTGTAATGGACACATATGATGGTATCCCTCAGCTACTGTGTGCAAGTGTGAATGGAATAATGATGTGTGCTGCTGATGGTGTATGTATCTGTGGGAGGGATATCTTATTTTCTAGTGTAGCTGTCAGGGAAATGGTCATATGTGGGTCCATGGGTGTGGGAAGGGGGAGATAGGGTATGCCCAATGGGTATTAGCAGGTAAAGAATGAAACAGGCTGAGAAAGATGTAAGGGGACGTGTAACATGAAGTGGTCCATGGTGGGACCGTTGAGGCTTGGATTCCCAATACCAAAGGTGCCCCTTCTGCCTTGCTCACCTGCCTCAGTAAAGGTGGCAGAAAATGTCCTGTTCCATGGAGGATGCCTGCACAGCTGGTGACTTAGGTGCTTAGAGACCCAGTAAAGGGCACTCCACTTTCCCAGAGTCCTGAGGGTGGGGGTGGGGATGGGGTTGTCTCTAGAAGCCTAAATTGGGGAAGGAAGGAGATAGCAGGTCACGCTGGTTCCAGCTATACGACTGAATGATTTTTTTTAGGGCTTGGGGAGGAAGGCAGGGGTGTATAAGGCCAGCCTCAGGTGCCCCCACCCAATCCTTATAGTAACAGGAACCAAGGAACCCTCCAACATGAAAAGACAAGCACACATTTCCTATCAGTGGAGGGACTCCAGAAGGTAGGAGGGGACAGACCTTCTTTGATATAGGATATACCTTAGTGTCATCTGGTTTAGGGGCCATCACCTCTCTTCTCCAGCCCCACCCCCTTACCTCAGAGCCAGCTTGAGCAAGGGAGTCTTTATGTTTGGCCCTCCTTTCTAAGGCTCCCCTTCTCAGTTTCTGACTGAAAGGAAGCTGTTGGCCCCATCAGCCCTGGGC